GCTCATTCCTGCTGGGCTCTTGTAGACAAGACGTGCCTTTGAGGGAGTCATGACCCTCAGCTCCTATTCAGCTGCTGTCTTTGACTACCTAAGGGGCAGCACAAGAGAAGACTGAGTCAGAATCTTCCCAGAGGTGCTCAGTGACAGAAGGGGAAGCAATGGACACAAACTGCAACACAAGAAATTCTGACCGAGTATGAGGAAAAATTCTTCCACTGTAAGATTGGTCAAAGATTGGACCAGGTCACCCAAGTCTCCTGAGGGTGAATCCTCCACCCTCAGAGATATTTTTAAGCCTCAACCAGATATAGGCCTCAGGCAAGATGATCTAACTAGATGTGACCTGAGCAGGGGCTGGACTAAATGGCATCCCTTCCAACCTTCATTACTCTATAACGCTACAACCTGGAAACAAACGGCTCTTCAGGAGCTTCAGTTGATCAAAATGATCTCATTTGTTCAAGACAGAACTTCCCAACTTGGATATGACGATGCTTAAATATTGGGTAAAATAAGGTTTTTTTAGGAGAAAACTCATCTCTTAGGCAAATATATTCACACATTACATCTGTACAGGGTTTCCATCAAGGATAGCTGAAACACTAGTAGTAAATATCAGTAAGGATAATGATATCCATTATCAGAAAGTACAGGCGCATCTTCCAGCTTTCCTTTATTCAAGTTCCAAGCTGTTTACATCTGCTGATAAAATGGAGGGATTATTTTCTCAAGCTTATGCCATGTTATTGCAGCTATACATTTGGTTGATTCTGAGACACTGCAGTGGCTCATACAGTCAGCATGGAGTGCAGGAAGAGAACTCCAGGTACTTTTACACTACACATAACCCCAAAAACTGAATACACGAGGACTTTTCCCCAAGAGAACGTAATCCATGTGATACAAATCTACCCATGCTTCACTACAGGGCTACCTTTCCTTTACCTTTACTGTTTATCAGAGTGGATATGATGAAGAAAAGTAGATTTGTACCAGCATACCTGCCACATAGAAAAGCAAATTTCTGCCTTGCCTCAATGTTAATATTCAGTAATCTTTGAGTCTGCAGTTTCTGCATTGTTAACACATTCTTCTGTGACTCCCTTTCCTTTTTCTATTTGGGTTTTAACAAGTGAAAAGGATTTTTTAAAAAAGTAAAATATATTGAATCCATTCTTTATGAAATGACTCACTGAAAAGGGGAGAATAACATCATCTAATTATAGCTGCCAGGGTTTTTACCTCCTACTAAGTATACTAATACACTTGCACTAATTGCAACTTTTCCCCTCCTCCTCTAAATTTTCAATTCTCAAACTGCTTCCCTATGGAAACATTTTTTAAACTCATTACAAGACTATTTCCCCCAGCGCAAATGCCAGGGGCTCTGAGGACTCCAGAATTCTTCCTCCAGACCCTGCCATTTTCTAGCCTCAAAGCTTGTTTGAAAGAACAGTATCATACCTAGCTTAATTTAAGGAAGCATCCATTGTAAGAAGAGAGAACATATTTCATTAGACTGGCCAATGTAGCTGGAAAAAGGACAGACTCCTCAGCTGAAAGGAGCCAGACAGAAAAAAACCTTGCTCAATGATGGACCAGCAAAATTCAGTGCAATGTGAGAATGACTGGAAATCAGTGATTTGATACAAAGTAAGCTGCAAGGAAATCCCTGCAAGGCTAACACAGTAATGGATCCTCTCAAGCTCAGTGACTGGGGAAGTTCATTTCATGCAGGAATCACTGAGCAGGGAAGAGATTATTACAGCTGTCCGAACACACAAAACATGATCTTGCACCTCAATTTATATCCACAGGAGAATATATAGGATATTCATTTACTGGTATGAATTTTACCAGTCCTGAAGCTTTCTTGGGTGGTGGTCTTTGGGGTTGTTGTTTTGGGGTTTCTTTTTTTTTTTAATTATTATTTCTTTTGATTTTGTCTTGTGATTTCTTTTTTTTCCTAGAGCACAGAGAAAGGAAGCTACTCAGATAGAGGTTTGAGGATGAAAGACACAGAACAACCCCTGGTTTCAGCTCAGCAACCTCTGCATCCCCAGCTGGTGGAAAAGCAAACAGTAAGTGCAGAACTCTTCCTCCCCCAGCCACCACTTGTGCCAGGTAAAGCAGAGAAAGGAAAAAAGGATATCAAAAGCAACAATTGTTCCTCTGTGGATGAGAGCTAGCCACTGCTGCTGGTTTGGACTTTGTTAGCCCAGGTTATAAAAGCAGGGCTTGAAGGCAGAGGTGTGTATTCAGCAGCTCTCCAGAAGATCATCAGAAAGATGCTCTTTCTTAGAACATTTACTCCAGCTGCTTCCAAGACACTATTCCCCATTATTCTGTAGAAGACATCTGAGACAGTCATAAAAAGTCAAAGTTTAAAAGATTCAGGAGTTTCTTCATATCATTGCCATTTCAGTGTTATTTACTTCCCATAGTACCACCCCCACTCCTCTTCACCCCCAAAAATCTAAGCAAAAAAACACCCCTCTATCATCAGTGCTTCATCATGTATTTTATTCCCTCACAAAAATCACAATCAGAGAATTCATTAGTCTATCCCCTTACCACCCACCACTTCTCACATTAAATGGAGAATATCTGTGATCTTAAGCAATTGGGTTTCTAAAGCACAGAGTGAAAATTCGCTAGTAGAATAGTCCTTCACCACAGGCCTTTCCTTCCTTCCTTCCTCCCACCCGCCCACCAACAACCTTTAAGGGAAACAGTTACAGCTTGCTGAAAACAGAGGGAAACACCTCACATTCAGCAAATGGAGATCATGCACATGCACAGACACCACTTGGTACACATATTTGAGCCCCAGGTGATCTCGCCCTGTTACTGTGACAAACTAAAACATTCTCATTAGAGAAATGTCAGCAAAATTTGTCAAATGACTACTCCTAAAAGTCAAAGCATGCTAGAATTCTCTGGAAGAGAAAATGCTAACCTGCCTCTAGGTGAGGCCACCCAGCTGCCCTGTCCTGGAAAAAGCAGAAGCTGTCAAAGGATTTGGCAACTACAAAAAACATGACACTTAGATGTATTCACAGTTCTGGCAATGTTACAGTTAATTTAACCTCCTCAAACTGTACCCGCTGTGCTCACACAATTATTTCTTCCCCTTCAGCTCGAACGACTTGTAGCTCTTAAATTTCCCATCCAGCAGAGGAGGGACGGGAAGCAACATATTGCAGTCCCCAATGCCAAACTGTCTTTGGTGTAGATTGTATGATTTAAAAAGACTTGTCACCATGATCAGACGATACAAGTTTTATATCCTCTTCACCAAAGTCAGTACTTAATTACCTTGACTGACATAAGCTTATGTGTGCTACATCTTGGAAACGCTGTCTCCTAAAAAGGATGACACCAAATATCCAAGTCTCAGGATCAGGACAGAACAAACCCTTCTGCTACCTTGCTAATGACTTTTTTTTAAGAAAACCCAAACTCCCCTGTACAATAAGCCTATCCATGCTAAATTAATCTGAAGTTCTAAATAATCAGAAGGAAAGTTAGAGGACTCTGCACTCTTGCAACAGCAAATCTGGCTCAGCTAATTTTCCAAATGAATCGAGAATCCAGAGCCAACCAACTATGCATTAGTCACTTGGCTAGCAAGGAGGACTTACACCAATGAACACAGGACTTCATTAAAATGTAATTTTAAGTTTAGCAATACACCAGGATGATCTATTATAAGAGGAAAGGGACAGGATTGAAACCTCAGACTCAGTTTCTTGCTACTTATCACGAACAAATTAAGATAAATTAAAAATCAATACAACGGGGTAATGTGAGACAAATGCTAATGTCCATGAAGGAGAATTTGTTAGACCCATCATCCTTGTGCTGCCAGGAACATCACTAATTCGGCACAACAGGAGAGGACAGAGACAAGCTGATCTACCCAGCAGAGCCAAAATTTACATCAGCTCCCCCTTTGCAATTGATTCCTATTCCCTCATGCACAAACCACCATCATCTTATGCAGACAGGACTAGTACCAACTTGGCATTATAGTGAGGGAACCTGTCACAGAGCTACTAGAGTTCTTTACTTCTGTCATTAAAAATGACCTCAATGTGAATGGGAACACTTTTCTATTTCATTTTACACATCATATCCTAGATTATTTGCAAGGTAACTGATGACTTCAGTAATCTTGGTCAGTCAAAATCCAAATCATATTGGCCTCAGGTGGAAAGTTGAAAATGAATGCAAAGGATCCAGTATGTGACACAAGCCACACCCCATGCAAGAGAAGCGTTTCCATTCTTCAAACTTGACTTCAGCAATGCTTGTTGAAGTTGTTGTGCAAAAATCAGGATTAAAATAGTATATAAAGCTCTTGGACAAAAAAAAACGTTTTCCTCACAGGTGCTTAGCCTAAAGTTAAATTTTGACAAATTTATGACACAGCTGTACTTACTACAAGGAGGAAGGAAAACTGGTGCCATGCAGCTGAGAGATTCCTTCTTCCATATGACCTGCTATTTAGGTACCACTCATATGCAAAATGCAGAAATTTCACTATCATGGCAAATCAGAAAATGGTCATGAAAACGACTTGCCACATATTGTTTAAACTAGATTCATACCTTTGTGGGTTTTAATTGCACTAGGTAGGGAGACTATCTTAAAAAAAAATCACATTGCTTTTACTACTGTTACATTCAGAAATATCAATGCTCTTTCAGTTCAGTAGCATGTTTCTCATAAGCAATGTATGCTTATTCTTCTATCAAAAAGCCAGCTGCAAATACTTAATCTTGAAAGCATTTAATAGAATTAAGCATGTATTTAATTAAAAAAAAAATCAAGTGTTTTTCCCTCATCAGTAACTCTCCACCCATTGACTTCATCCTTAAAGCCTAACTTGTTACTCCTTCAATGTAGGCAACTATCCCTGTATGCATACATAAAGATGAGACTCCACTGCACCTTCTTTCCAACTATGTCACAGCAACTTAAAAATCTAATACATATTCCTTTAAAGAAATTTGAGTGAATTTATTGTATAAAACTATGATTGGCATGGTACAGAAAAGTTCCTTTTAATGCACATTTCCCATTAACTTGTACACAAATATTACAAGTATCAAGCAAAATGCAAAAGTCTTAAGAACTAATTTCATACTACAAAAGTGTTCACATAGTGAAGTTACTCTGGTTACAAAATGTCATGGAAATAAAAGCACTTCAAAATACGTATTTGGGAAATGTCTCGAATAATCAACGCAACTTTAAGTTAGTTAAAAAATGCAAAGAAAGAGATACCCTCTTCAAAACACTATTTCATTTGGCAAGATGGAGCAAAGTTCAGATCAGTTCATTATTGAAGGATTGCTCTTTAGAAGAAAGAAAAACAAACAAAAAACCCCACCCTTCAGTTAAGAAAAGACTTAATTACACCATGATGACAAATAACGCCATCAAAAAGTTATCTGGCTCTCTTGTTTTCACACAGGAGCTGTCAGAGGCAGAGATGTGTAAATAAACACTTTCAGGTGTATACAGATTTCTTTTTCAAAAACCAACCAACCAAAAAAACCCCCCAAAAACCAAAGCCCCAAAACAACAGAAAGGAGACAATCTGAACTTTGTTGTTTTCATTTAACTAGTTCAGTTCCTTAGGTCACAAGACCCAAGAATACCAGTCTGCAAAGGACACAAATTTAAAGAACAAAATGGAACATCCACTACGACAGAATGCGTAGATGTCCAGTTGCACGACTACCACACGTCCTCTCAGTAAGGCTGTTAGAGGCTACCAGACCTCTGCTTCCCAATATCCTTGAAGACCTGCTATTCTGAAGAAGAAAAAATGTTTGGACCCTACAAACAACCTTACAAAAAGGAGGCACAGTCGTACTGTTAGAAAATAACACAAAGTCTGGAAGCCTGAAGGCATCCTTAAAAACTCACACAAAATAACTACAAAATAAGCAATACTTTACATTGTTTTTGTATCAGATGACTTGCCTGTGTTTGAGCAATTGAACATTGCTATGTATATCTACATGAAATCGCACATACAGAACATCGTGTTCAGCCATTATTGTTGTTTTCCTTTTATACACACACAAGTTACTATCAGGTTATCCAGTCTATTCAAACTCAGTGAAAAACAGTCCACAGCACGTGTAAAAGGAGCAGTATCCAATACAGTGTTGTCTTGCAAAAATGGAGTCAGAATTCCTGAGTCTCAGAGACATTGCTGTCCTCCTCCATTACTGGATTATTTATTTTCCAAGGAGAATCTCTAGTTTTCATTTCTTCACTCTGATGAAATTTGTAATAGATTGCGTCTTTTAAAAAATGTAAAACTTGTACAAAAAATGTGCCAACCAAAGCGAATTTTTAAAGCTTTTTAAAGGGAGGGGAGATTCACTTACAAAATAAAGGCCACCTTCTTGTAAAATTAGTACTGCCAGTATCCCATCATTCTGTTTAAAGGAGAGATTTAGCTCCCTGTTCTGGAAATCTTACTACCTGTAGTCATGTGAGCTGAAAAACTCCATCCTTTTAGCAATTAAAAATACTATAAATAGGACTAACGTGGAACAGCCCTTTGTTACAATCACCAAGGTGGCAAAACCAATGAAGTCTCCTTCAAATAGTCTCTGCAATCTAACTTCTGCATTTACCCTTGTACTTTGCATATTACACAGTGTAACTTAAAATGTAATTTAAGAGCACTTCAGTCCCACAATGTAGGATTTAAGCTTGTGTGAATACATAATGGCTCTGCAACATTTGTAATGCCTTAGAAAAATACATTCAACCAAAACTTTATATAGGATTCTATTTTTTTAAATCAAAATGAAGAAAAAGCCAAATGGTCCCATCATTAGCTAAATAATACACTCCAACTTCTGGAAGCAAGTCCAAATCAAAAGCACATTCAAGAATAACACACTGAATTGCACACCTTCTCATTCATCTTTATCAGTAATCAAATTCTACTGCATATAGTTATTCAGCCTTATAAATAATGCTAAGCAGAAAAATATTTACCTCTGTGCTACTTTTCTCAGTTTATAGAAGCATTTCTCAGTTTATAGGAGCAAAGGAAAAAAAACTAAAGTGCAGGCTACAGGCCATGACAGGCATAATAAATGACCAAAGGTGCAGCCAAATTTGCATTTACATCTTAAGTTACTTTGCCATCTTCCTTTTCTTGCTAGAAGTCACCCCTGCGCAATTGAAAAGCTGGTCAGTTGATTTGTGCCACAGTACAACCTGTAATCACTTGCAATTTTTTAAAAAAAATCTATTTCAATTGTCCATAGATATTTCTAGGTGATAGCTCAGGTTCACAAAACCTTACTTAATTATTAATACTTGAAATCACACAATATTGACACCTCCTCCAGCGAATGCTACTGTCCTTTTGCTGCAGTATGTGGTTGAACCAGTGAGGCTTGGCTGACTGTCTTTAACAAGCGATGTCTTCATTTCCATTTCACACGCTACAATAGCTGCATTCAGTTCCACTTGAGCTCGGTGAACAACATAAAACATGAGTCCTATGCTTATGACAATCTGCAAATAAAACAAGAGTGTTGTAGGCTATATAGGCTGCAGGCATGAATACAAAGCAACTGATCTGAACAAAATAGTAAGTTGTCGATGCAAAGATTCATGAAGGCGTCTGTGGGCTCAATGCTTTGCTGGCAAGACATTAGAAGGGAGATGAACTTAACCAGTGAGAAGCTCTAAACCTACATATGCTGGCAGTGTAACCAGCGTATCAACATAGACATTACATAGAACTTAAATATTTACAAGAATTGGAAAGATAGTTTCTTTCTTTCTGTTGACATCCATACACTTATTATAATGCAATTCTTTCACTTCCTCTCTTGGAAATAAGGTTTCTGCAAAGAAATGACATGGTGTGCTTCTGTAAGTCAAAGAGGCTGTATTCCACGTACCAAGGGAATAACAGGTTTAAATTCTACTGGGCACCTGCAACTTGCAAAACAGCAGAGCACAGCCAGAGAATGACGCAGACCAAAGGAAATAAAACTTATCCTTGTCCCTCTGGTGTGGAATGCAGCAGAGAGGACCAGTTTATCAGGACTAAACAGGGCAGAATCAGAGTTTATAAGTGACTTACAGCAGTCTTTAAGGGAAGAACTTGGTTTCTGGAGGATGGCTCAGGGAAGAGACAGGATGTCAATGGTGTGGGGTTTTATCATTTGTTTAAGGAGGAAATACTGTAAAAAACTAGGGGTTTAGTTCAGATTTTTGCTCTAAGTTATATCGCTAAGAGTTCTTAAACTTTCAGCACAAAAATCATCAGAAATAAACCTGGACAATTTTTGCTTAGAAATTACTCATGCAGTGACATTGGCGTGCACTGCACTCCTCAGAAGCATATTTTGATTTCAATAAAACACCAGTCAAGTTTTTTAGCTGAGATCCTCCTTAATAAAAATGATAAAATCTTCAAATAAAAATCAAGCTGTCTCATACTAAGAGTCCCTTTGAAAGAAGTACATTATGTCTTTTTTTAAGAATGTTTTATGAAACTAGCTGGAATCAGCAACTTCCTTTCAAAAAACCAAGGATATTATATTGCTGTTATATTGCTTATAACAGAACCTAAAGTTCTGAGTCCAAAATCTGAACTTGGTTACTAATTGGTAGAGGTATGTTTTCTTTAGCATTGAGGACTTGCTTAAAACATCTGCCAGCATGGCATACAAGATGCTAAAATATCACTGAGATGACTGGCAAGTATGGTCACAAAATAACTGCAGGGGGAAGGCATCCTGACAGTCTCTAGCCCAACCTGCTGCTCAGGGCTGGCAGCAAGATCAGAACAGTTTGCTCAGGACTTTTGTGCAGTCAGGTCTTGAAAACTTCCAAGGATAGAGATTTCACCACCTCTCCAGGCAATCTGTTTCTCCACTGCTTGACTATCCTTGTGGTGAAAAAGATGTCTTTCACCAATTCAAGTTAAACATTTCAAAAGATGGTCAACATAAGAGTCGAAATGAGACTATGGACACCAAGTTCTGAATACATAGGAAAAATCCTGTTCTAAAAGCTTACTCAAATATTTAAATTTGATTGGTTTTAGAAATAGTACTACCAGAAACCTAGTTCTCTAGATGAATATTTTAAATATATATATTTATACACAGACAACCATGAAATGTGAAGGATTTTCAGAGCTATTCCCTAAATCAAAGTCCAATCAAAGCTCAGCCTGCCAAAGCACCAGGTCTGAGAGACAGTGAGAGAACACAAATAATTCCTCCACTAAAGGCCTCCCCTTCACTTATTCAGTCAGATCTTAAGGATTGCTCTCAAGGAGGTCAGTACTCCTATTCAAACTTCCAGACTATCCAGCTAGCACTTACCTGAGCAACAGTTATGTTACAACCTATATAATCTGCAGAGAGTCAATGTCATTAAAAAAAAAAAAAGTAAAAAAAGAAAGGAAAATACCACTAAAAACTACTACCCTGGAAATAACATTTCATGACTAAAATGATAGCTGATCAAATAACCATTTATTTGCTCTTTGATGTATTAAGGCTATTAACCCCATATTTAGAAAGGCATTTTTAATACTCATAACCCTGTTCTATGAAGCCTATAAATCGTATGTTCTATTTAAAAGAACACAAGTATCAGGGGAAGGGGGAAGTTACGTTTTAAAGGGTCCTAGACATAGTTTTCTGTTAGCATTGTTAAACATCAGTTTTATAAATGTAAAAACTGAGGAATGTAAATGACTGCAGTACTTACTGAAAGTCTGCAAACCATGGTAACTGCTAGTCAAACATATCTTGAAGTACTGACACTGTCAGAGGCAGTTTTAATATATAATCTAGTTATGAAATACCCATAACTTCTATGCTCCTAATGGTCTCAGACCTAAGGTTTGTACCCAAGATTTATAGATGAATTATTTCATCAGCTAAGGTCATGTAAAGGTACTACATACTTCTCATTAATTTACTTACTTGTAAAATTAGGGTATTCTGATTTAGGCATTAGCAAAATTATATTTCTACAGCACTTTCAGTCCTGAACACCTATGCAAAATGGGGATGTTGAGTGCTAACAGTGAACACTGCACGGGTGCTGGGCCTACACACCCTGAGCACACTTCTTCACAGATGGTGGCACATGAGCTTTTGTGTAGGGGCGGTTTGACAATTCTAAAATTCAGCAGGAGATTACCACAGAGGGCAAGAAAAGAAAGCTTGCTAAAACTGAGTCAAAAAAAGAGAACACTGAGTAAGTTCTGCTTTGTGTCACAGTGAGGTATGAGAGAATTAAACTTTTTAACAGCATAAAACAAAATCAGAAGAAAACAGTACACTGGAAACCTATTTTTCTGGGTATCTAGCAGTCAACAGAAGTCACAAAGAGACTGACACTACCACTACCAAGATCTATGAAAGTAATTATTTTAACTTACCTGGAAACCAAATATAAAATAGCCACTAACACTTTGCTCTGCAATCACATCCTCCATGGTGCGCAAGGTAGTGCCCAAGTATGAGTTCAGGAGCTGAGTAGGAAGCAGCCCAATTGAAGAAGCCATCAGGTAGTTGGGTAGTGACAAATCTGTAATCTGAGTAAAAAGACAGAGTAAGAAATCAAGCACAGCTCTTACACAGTCTGTGTGTACAAACAACCAGACTGCTGCTCCCACAACCATCCCTGCAAAATCATGAAAGAATTTCTCACATTCCTTCACTGAAACTTAGATTCGCGCTCAGTGGGAAGACAGTATAACAAAACAGTATGTGTCTAGTTTTCATCTGGCCTTTTTAAAGTTAATAGGTTTTATTTCATTTCACCTTGCATTACACAACATCTCTGTGTAAAAGTCATTAACTAAGGATGCAATTACACTGTTCATTGAAGGTATTTATTTCTGCAGGGTGAATAGAGCCCTTGAATTTATGAGAATTTATTTGTTGGAAGAAATTACTTTATCAAATGCAAAGGTCTAAAGCAAAAATCTATTTGCTTTGGATTTTACACGTATGGCACATAATACAAGAGGTAATTGTTCAAAATGTCACTGTCTTAAACATGATCTTGGCAAACAGAATGGCAATTTGTGTCTGCAAGGGAGTTTATACAGCTCAATAAGACACATATATCTATCAATGATCCCTATGAGCAATACCTATCTATATCTGTACTGATACACGTAGGTATCATTAAGATTCTTTACCAAAGGTATTTTGCATCACATTTCAACTAGTGAACATAACAGTACACATGACTATAGCTTTTGTTCATTTCTCTAGAAAAAACACTACTAATACTTCAATATTTTCTTCTCTATGGTGTGAAATTTCTGTTCTGAGTCATTACGTGGACATATGAGTTTATATGGGTACAAAGTACACAGTACCAGATAAATTAGTATCAGCAGCCATTGGGAAATATTAAATGCAAGACTCATGAAGTCAAAAGATATTTATACAACCAAAAAGAAAACAAGAGGAAACTGAGTTAAAAATGAGTATGAAAAGGGTGATCTTGAAAACAAGCAGTCTAACGAATTTTCCAAACAATTCGGTTGATCACATCATAACAAAACAAGATCTAATTAAGAACAGCCCTAACACTGGGAGCCTACATGGAAATTATTGACCTTGACAGTTTTGTACAATGTTGAAGACCACAGAATAGCAGCAATGTTACTCATTTCATCATGCTATTCTTAAAATAAACTTTGGTTACTGTGAAAGTCACAGTGCTGAATTCTCAGAGCTCTGTGCACCATCAGTGGAAAGTTTCTGGGAGGAAGGAAGGGCAATGGAGGAGCAGAATGTAATGAAGCATAAAGATTAAGTTAATTCCCTGGGACAAGATCCCATAAGCCAATTCCAAACTTCACACTGCAAATCATACTTCCCACAGACTGAAACATATACCAGCACCAAAAATAATATATTTCCCTCTCTATGCAAGATTTAGATTTATTATGAAAAAGCATTACATAATTATGTCAGAACTTTACATTTGACCATTGCTTTCAAAAGACGTTTTTTTTAAACATTATCATAATCTGGGCCATGTAATAAGAATGCACAGCCCAAACTTACCATCTTGTCATGGGAATGGAGAAGTTGCTATTAAAAATCTCCGAAATACTAACGCAGAGGCAAGATTTGCTAAGTAGGACGCTATCATTAAATCTAATGGAGCTGGGAAACTTCCCAAAGATTGTTTTAACATTCCTGGCACCTCTCTCATTTCTGTATATGTATTAAGGACACTTAGGTTGCAAAGCAACGTGTTTGCACATCTGGATCTGTCCTGAAACAACTGGACCTCCTGAGTCAGGAGAGAGATTGTTTCCAAATGAAGGGCATACTGCCACTGGATACACTGGACTGCAGCTTGTACTTCCCACTGAAATGAAAGCTAGGAAAAGGGGGAAACATTTTTCGAGATGCCCTTTTAAATCCTGGTTTGAAGGTTTAGACTGACAGTCTTATTCCTTTTCCCAGAAGGCACAGGAAGCAGACAGTATCCCTGCCTAAGAAACCTGAGAACTCATCAATAAAACTTACAGCTTTTCATACTTTCCTTTCCAGCATCTTTACCTGCTCTATGAACCTGCCAGACTGGCATCTGCATGGCCAAGCTGTCCAATTGAGGCTACCAGAGCTCTGTTTCTAATAAAAGTTCAGGCCAGCAAAAATTAACAGTGAAATCCCAAAGCAAGCATGGATGCAACTGTGTTATGGGCCACTACAGAATGGCATTTAAATCGTATTTAAATACAATTAAGAACTACCTAACTGCTTTGGTAACAATAGCCAGAAACTCTCCAATTAAGCCTTGGACAGGCTCTGTTCAGTCGCACTTTTGTGTATTCTTTGTGGCCAACACTTTTGGTTCAGTGCTGTCAAAGAATAAACTCTGGTGTCAGGACTTTGTTGGGGGGTCACATGCCTTTGGGGATTGCAACAGATTTATCTCCCCTCGATTTATGAATCCCTGTGTTTTGGATCACTAGGCTTTGTGACAGAGCTAAGGATAACTCGGATGCTCTACAAAACAAACAAACAAAACAAAACAACAGCAAAAAATAGTGAATTAAAAAACCAAACCAGCTATCAAGTTTCCAACAAGCAGAGTAAGCAGCCTGCATATTCTTGCAAAGCAGGTACCCTTTCTTCAACTGACTTCACTGTGTGCATTTCTGGAACCAGAGATGCACACTTGAACACTCAGATTTCTTAGATTATTTCTTCCATGTGATACCCCTCTCAAAGAGGAGGAAAAAAAGAAGCATGAATTCCAATGTAACCTACATCTGGCACTACAAATAACCAGTTTGCACAAATCTCGCTCCATGAATCCACTTGTGGGAAGTAGATGATAACCTGCATACCAGGCCTCCTTACAAAAACACCTTCAAAACACCCAGAGCGGCCAAGGGGAGAGGGCTGTGCATGGGCAAACACGTCAGTAAGGGCTATCAGCCCACTCCAGCAGCCCAGGCCACTCTGGCATCAGAGGAGTGACAATCAAGCAAAACCCACTCAAAGAGAAGTACAAACATGCTTTCAGTTAACAAGTTTCTAGGTCTTCCAGAAAGGCAAGGAAATGCATTACCCCACCGCTCTACTATCAGCACTTTCTCAAAGAGCAGCAGAATGACCGTATAAGCAGCAAGATCTTCACGTCTGCCTGGTGAGACTCTAGCAAATTTGTGTTAATTTTTTTCTTGTGATGTTTCAATTAATATGATCCCCTCACTAATCAAATGTTAAGAAGCTCTTCCATCTTTCTCTACACCTCCTGCAATTCAACCTCACAAAAACCCTCAGCAGATGGTACATGCCACTGAACAAGTGTTTGTAGAAACATTTAATCCCAGCCCTGCAGACGACCCAGCTCACATCAAGGTTATGGCTTGACCTCATGTGTCACTTCCTTCCTTCCTTCTCATTTAAATATTCTCAGCATCTCCAGTTTACTTATAAATATCAACCTTGAAAACATGCACAGACAAGACTGCTAGAAAATTAAAGACGTGTAAGCTTTCTTAGGATCACTGTCTTTTCAAAAGCAACTCTTTCCAAATTCATTGCTGAAGTTGCTAGTAGGGGGGAACGCATTTTAAATTTAAAAAGAGCATTAAGTTTTCAAATAAGTGAGATTTCAAAGAAATGACAGCTCGATCTGTGCAGGTATACATAACTTAAACTTGAATCACAGTAAGAAACTGAATTCCCAAATTTGCATGCAACATTTTATTTTTTATCGATCTAGTACCTCCTATTAAATGTCCTCAGTAAAAAATTGAGCACACTGTGCTTTATTTGACTATGCTACAAAGAAGTAAATCTGGATAAATGTAACACAACTAATATTAGCAGGAAACATCCAAGTTACTTGGTATACTCAAGACTCTGGATTCATCTCATTTTCTATCCATTATTTTAACACTGAAACCTTCCACTTGGCATGAAAATTATTTAGCCTGCAGAACAGGGAGAATACAAACAACTGATTTACAGCATCATTTTAATATTGGACTGGCCAAAATACTCTGCTGAATTGTGTTTCCAACAGAATGGTTATGCCAGGAAAGAAATAATTTTAATTTGGTAATTCTCTGTCTGTTCTTCAGATCCAATACTACTCTAAAACATCTGCTGACTACTTCATTTGACACCCTGAAGCTGTGAACAACTCTAGCACAACAGTTTTCCCCACTTTAGGAGGGTCACAGTACAGCAGAAGCTTCAACTGCTACACTAGGACCTTGGGCTCCAGCAGAGACTGCTCCCAGCTGGACAAGTCTAAGCTTCCTCAGTCCTGCAGTAATAAAGGTTAATAAACAAAACAGCAGAGGTTCAGCCGTTCAGTTTCTCACTCTTAACAAGGAAATGGTTAAAGGATCTGTTTAAAAAGAAATTACAAGTTGCTACAGCTCTTATGGACAAAGATCACAGCTCTGGAGATGAATGCCCCAGTATAGAGAGTTTTATACACAGCAATTTTAGATATTTGACGTGGGTGTTACCCCCCCCAGAATTGCATGGATTAATTTTTTCTTAAATAACAAATTTGGTATCCCATGACCTACTAAAAGCAGCCAGATGATTCTGTCAAAATTAAGCAAGCCTTCAGAAGGGAACAGGATCAGAACAGCAGACAGGGGAAGGAAGGTGTGCTGTAAGAAAGTGGCAGACCAAAACACTTGGTTACTTACATTAAAGAAATTCTAAGTTACTGATAAATATTTAAAATATTTCACAATCCCATTTGTTTTGTTTTGATTTCACCAAGTTAGCAGATACAACTGATGTGTAACACACAGCCAAAACCAGATCCTTCAGACAAAGCACACGGGAAGCAATGAGGGTCTGAAACTGTCACCATCAGCATGACAGTACTCAAAAAGAATACCCTTTATGTTCTTCTTTACTTTCTCCTGAATGTAAAAACGTACTATTGAACGTACTAATGAATGTACTAATGAATGTACAATCTCCATCTAAAAGTAGAAAGAAAAGCAAGACTAACCCTTTTTCAAACTAAAGTTTAAATTAACTTTCAGTGGTACACCTCTGGTGTACTGTCCCTTTTCAGGTCTGATGCTACATCTTACTCTTCTGCCCAAAACCTGCGACCTCGATTGTGTGCATGGACTTAACACCCTGTATAGACTGCCAGATGCATGCCATAAACACCAACCACACTGAGCAAGAATTTTAATCTGTCCACTTTTTTCTTTCCAACATGACTACTTATATTAAGTAGTTTAGGAAGATCTGGCAAGACTTTTCCTCCCACTCGGATCATTTTAAAAACCCAGGCACTCTGTAACCATTGAGTTCTCTGCAGATTTTGCTACACAGCACCTTGGTGCTTCTTTCTAACACCAGAATATGGTCTTGAAAGCCAGAGAGCAACTCTAACACAATGCCACTGAGCAAGGCATCTCAAAAACCTGCCTGCTGTCCCTCCGCCTGCACAGAAGAGCCACTTTTACTATTGTTAAAAGAGAGAGAAACCATGGTGAGACCATGGTTTGTTCCCAGGAAAGCAGGCAACCTCCACCAGTGACAGCGGCCACTATGCCGAAAGACATCCTTCCAGCCAGTGCCTCTTTCTTTGGCCGCACGGCCCACGCTGGGACTCACCGCGAAGACGGCATTCTGCAACCCGAAGGGGATCGGCGTGAGCCGCGCCAGAGCCACCACCTTGAGGCCACTGCCGCCCTCCACGACGCGGACGATGGCACTGAGCGTCCCGCTGCCCTGGATCCTGGTCCGTGCCCAGCGGGCCAGCAGCCGCTTGCAGGCCACGTGGGCGACAAAGGTGCCGACGAGGACGCCGAGCACCATGAGCCCCATGCCCATCATGAAGCCGTAGAGGTAACCGGCGGCCACGTTGAGCAGGATGTAGCCCCAGCCGCAGGGGAATGACACGACGATGAAGCCCACGGTGAAGAGCAGCACGCCGGCCAGGCTGTCCAGGCTCTCGGCCCAGAGCAGCAGGTCCCGCAGGTACTGGCGCACCAGGGCCAGCGAGGCGAAGCAGAGGGCGGCCAGGACGCACACGATGAGGCAGCTCTTGCACCAGCAGGTGCCCAAGAGGCAGCAGGAGCAGCGCCAGCCCCGGCCCTCGGCCAGCCCGTGCCCGCCGCCGCCCGCCTCGGGCAGCTGGCAGAGCAGCAGCTCGGCCGGCGGCAGCCCGTCCTGCTCCGCGTAGGGCCCGAGCAGCAGCCCGCCGGCCCCCGCCGCCTCCGCGGGGACGAAGCCGACGGTGTCCCCGCCGCTGCCGGCTCGGGACAGCCAGCGGCCCAGGTCCTGCCGGGCGCCCTGCGCCGCCGCCTGCTTCACGGCCCGGGAGAGGAGCTGCAGCGCCGCGGCCCCCGCGCCCCGCATCCCCCCGCGCCGCCGCGCGGCTCCAGCGCTGCCGAGCCGCGCGGCCCCTTCGCTCCCCGCTTCCCCACGCAGCCTGCGGGCAGGGGCGGCCGCTCCCTCATCGCCCTGCCATGGCCCGGCTGCCGAGCCCGGCCGAGGGCCGGGCGGGGGCGGGGAAGCGGCGGCGGGGAGGGCGGGGAGGAGGGGGCCGCGCTTCGCCGCCGCCCGGCGGGCGGAGGGGCCGCGGCGGCCTCCGCGCCGCCTCCCGCCTCGGCCGCGCCGCCGGGGCTGCGGCGTTAGACGGCGACGGGGCCGCTCTCTCCGTCCCGGCAGTGGCAGCGGCGGCCCTGGCGGAGCGCGGGTCCCGGGGGGCGGCGGCAGCGGCGGCGGCGGCAGCACCGGGGCTCCATCTCCCCGCGCGCTGAGCTCCCGATCCGCTCCGGAAAGCGCCTTCTCGGAGCGGCGGTGCCGATGTGGCAATCCCGGCAGGGAGGAGGCTCGACTCGGCTCCGGCGGCAGCCGCGTCCGGCCCCGCTGCGGGGCTCGGCAGCGGCGCCGCGGTCCCGCCTCCCGCCCCGCCCCGGGAGCGCCGCGCTGGGCGGGTGTGCCCTGCGGAGCCCCGCCGAGTCCGCACTGCCGAGCCCGTGGTGCGGGTACGGCTCGTCTCGCTCTGCCCCGCGGTCCTCAGCAGCCCGCATTCCCGGCAGAGCCGTAATCTGCAGGGTTTAGAGGGGCCGTGCTGAAAAGCGGGTTATTTTCTGTCAGAGGAGCGCTTGGTTCAAGCATCACTGACGACACTGTTACTCTTGCGCTCCATTGCCGCATCGGCGACTCTCCCTCCCTTATGTGAAGGCTTTGTATCGCAAACACCCGGGCTTTCCCCTCTCCACGAGCGAGACGAGCCTCTCCCAGCCAGCAGCCGGGCTTTGAGCTGAGGGGCGACAGCCGCGACCCTTGGGCTCCGTGGCATCTCACCGTCAGGTCGGCTTGGCTCTGCTTGGCTCATACGATCGAAAGGCTCAGGCACACTTTGGGATGGTTTGAACTCGAATATTGAGCCACTGCTAGAATGTTGAGCCTGAACACTCAGCAAGGGCTCCATTTAGAGGGGTGTTTTCTCGAGAGCCTCGCAGAGGCTCGACAACTTCGTCGGTCGCCGTTGCTCTGGCGTTACTAATGACAGGAGCCATAGGGTGCAGAAAGGGATTCGTTTTCTTTACAACTCTTAAACATACAGTGTGCTCCAGCGGAGTTATATTTCTCTGCTGGGAAATTCAGAGGGGTATGTAAAACGAGAATGTGTGGGAGTTGTAAAGAGTGATTGGAAAAAAACCCAAAAAACTAACCAAATCTCAAAATGAAGAACATATTTTGAAGGAAGTACTGCAAATACGCACTTGCAAAATACACTGTTCGAAACAATAAAATCTGGGCAATCCAACAAATCAGCCTAAGAAAATGGCAGATGTCTTTGAGAATCATCAGCAGAATAAAATGATCCTGGGGACTCTGTACAGCAAGCAAGTTGCAGATAAATACTTCCAGCATAATTTGCTTTCATGCTGTTACCTGTATCTGAATGTGAGCATTTGATTTTGTGTGTGCTCTTTGCTTACAGTGCAAACACAGACAGGGCATACATCCAGAATTATTATAATAATGGAAAGAAAGCCCTGCATTACGGCTTGTAAAGGACGATGGGCATGCTTGTACATTCAGTAAAGCGTTTCAGCAAACCAGGATGGGCCAGAAGTTCAATAGAAAAATAAGAAGACAAAATATTAATTTTGGGTTTTATACTAAGAGCACGTATGTCTTTGTTGTGGATTTAGTTTCTGTATATTTTTTTTCAGTGCAGTTGCTTACATAGAATAGGAAAAAGCCTGAGCGGAAACGTCTACCAGAGTTACACGCTTTATGCTGCCCCTACATTTCTGCATTTAAAGTGCAGAACCTTTTCCTCAGAGCCAAAATGAATCTCCAGCTGCCACTCTAAAAGCTACAGGGTTCTGTATTTATAATCACAGAAACTGTAATTGAAAAGGGACCTCAAAATGGTATGAGGGAAATAATGATCCATCTAAGTGACAGTTCTGACATTACACTCTAATCTATAAAATATATTGAAGCTAGTTAGTGGAGATGCTTCTCCAGTCCCTAGGAATATATAGGCTGAAACTCCTCCACTTTATCCATCACCTTGCTCCCTAAAATAGCTAATCCTGGCATTCTACTGTCCCTTGGTGCAACGGCTCAGGAAGGAAAGACAACAAACAATCAGATTTTGAGTGACACAGAGTATGGTCATGGAGCATCTTTGGAAAAATATCCCAGCAAGGCCACAGGAATTCAGCAGGACTTGGGTGGAGCTGGAAGCCTCTCCTGCACACACAGCAGACACATCTATGGAGCTGAGAGGCAGCGTCAGCTGGCTCCTGCAAGCCTTCCCAGCACCCTCTTACTATCTGAAGGGAAAAAAACCAACCTCACACTCCCTTGAAAATGTGCCAAATTAGCACATTGCTGGACAAAATGCCAGACAAAATGGTCCACCTTTCAGACTTACTAGTCAGTGAATCATAAGATATTCCTGTACCATGGATGATGCAGTTGCAATGGTCTGCTGATATAAGCAAAGCAAGAGTTGTAAGGAAAAGCAGTTACCTTCCCATAGACCAATCATTACACTTAAAAAACCAGATGACCTCTTGAACACACAGCTTCTGGACAAACATTTTGTGCTCCAAAAAAGACAACGCACTTTTTTTTTCCCCCACATAGATTAGTTGATTTAGTGAATAATTTCCAACAAATGTTGTCTAACCTGTTCTTTGGAAAAGCACAGCTGGCCTGGTTAACTTCAGAAATTGAGTTAATAGGAATACAAAATACAGGTTTAGTACATACAGGTTTAAAATATTGCATTACATCAAATAAAACTGCTCCTATACTTCCTTAGGCTGAATTACTCAGATTCTCACTAAACTCATCTATCATTTCAACTCATTTCTTACCTTTCTTTTTATTTATGTTTGGCATTTTTCTGAGAATCAGAATAAAACCTGAGTGGCACAGAATAACAGCTGGAGGACTGTTCTGCTTCAAGGAATAAAATCTTTCTATAGAAAGATACTCTCACAGTAATGTACATTGTAGTGGATATTGAAGAATTTTTGCCATTTTTTCCAGGCCCATGATGTAGGTCCAGGCTATTTCTTTGATCTGGCAGGAGCAACTGAGAAATGGTCATTTATGTTTTGAAACTCTGCTTCTCCCGTCTCATCTTTTACTTCAAGGAATATTATTATGCAAACACACCCAACTAAGCATGTGAGTCATCATATTCAAATGAAACACATGACTCATTTAGGCCCATGTAACTGGTCCACACAGAAGAGGGGCTCTGAAGGTGGAGAGTAGGATACATTAAGCCACGAATTAGGAGCTAAAATTATTCTGAGTTACGAGCTCCTGAAAACTTGCCATAGCTATTTCTGAATTGCTCTTTAGGAGGGAGAGGCAGGACTTTTTTCAGATGATATTAAGGGCCATAACACCAGTGTACTTCTAAATGTCTGTTAGTTCTGTCAGCATTACTGTGAAGGTCCTGCGGTGGGAACTGCAACATTGACTAATTTATGTCAGGAGCAACCATTCTGAGGCCACAGCAGGCTCTCACTGGAGCTGCCTCCCTCTGGTCTGCAGTCTTCCTTGTCGTACATTCCTTTACATTCACATGAAGGAAGGTGAATGTAAACCTTGCTCATGCAGGGAATACACTTTTTGCTGTTTAACAGAGTGTTAGCTGCAAGGATTTGGGGAAAGGTATTAGTGAGGAGCAAGCCGTGACCAGAGAGATTATTCTGGTAGACCAAGTCTGCAAGGCATTGCTGGCCCCCACTGATTTGGATCATTCTATTTTAAATTCATGTGCATTCACAGTTTTGTCAAAGTGAATGGGAAGTGTGCTGAAGGAAAACAAGCTATCATGAAGCTTTATAGGACATTGCTTAAATTCCCAGTGAAAGGTGATAGTTCTGGAGTTACTGCATCAGGAACAGGAGGTGTAAGAGGCGAAAGAGCACTATTAGTAACCTAGGATCATCTAGTGTTTTAATTTTTTTGACAAATATCTATCAAGATGTAACAAATTTTGTGTTGCTTTAACCAGGAGCTACCTAGTTCAGATAAGATCTTTAGTTGAAAGATACAAACATAAAAAATGAAGTACCCATAAACCTCATTAAGTGTATACCTTGAAGAGTTTTTAAATCTTGAGGTGAGAATCCAAACTGTGTTATTTTGCAGCTTGATTTATTAGGTGTCTACAGAAACTTTATGACTTGATATATAGTCCCAGCCTCCCAGATAAGTCCAGATACAATCATGTTAAATCAATCATGTTTTATATACTACTGTAAACTCATATAATTCAGAAAATGAATGTGTTTATTTTCATACATTTCTACATAAGAAATATGGTTTATACAATACTTTTACAAGAAACATTTCAAGTCAATTTGATTACAACTCCATGTAAGGCATGAAGAAAAATTAAATACAGTGAGCAATGTGCTCAAATATTTAAATTGAAGAGAAGATTCTGAGACATCATTGTGGTACTAGTTATTATATAAATAGTGACATACCTAAAACAAGTCCAATACAGTAGAACTGAAGATTTACAATGACTTGTATAATATTCCTTAGAGTGTCTTGACCCAGAAAGAACAAATGAGAAACCTTGAACATCCTTATACATAAGGCAAAAGTACAGCTTTATATTTGGTATATCCATATGTGCCTTCAGCTGTTGGAGTAATGGGAAACTTAAGCTAATGCTTCTTAAAAACTCACATGGGGTTCTTCCTTGCAAAAGGATATCCTTAGGTTGACAGAAGAAACTTCTGCCAATTTTTTATTCCATGAAATAACTGCTTTGTTGCAAAAACCCCACATTAGTCAGGGGCCTTTGGTGTAATGCGGAATAGCCTAAAGTTTGGAAGTCACAAAATTGCTCACAAGGACTAGACTAACACTGACACTTCTAGGAAATAGTAAGCTAGGGAAGAAAACCCAAATGTATTACATTAATTGTGTCCTCCTGAATTGCACAGTGCAAACATTAGATGTGCCTCGAAATGTTAGCCATGTAATTCCTTAATTCTACCAGGACCATAAACTAGGAATCTACATTTTCATACAACAGAATACATGAGGCAGTTCTTGAGAGCCCTAACATCTGGAAGGTGTGCTTTCAAAATTAATTTTGGGTATCATGAAATAAGGTACAGTGAGAAAAGCATATCTGAGGAACAGGAAATTCTCTTGGTGAAGTCATTTATTGAGACTGTTAACACAGATTTTCCTCACCTTTAAAGTGACAGAAGAACTGTAAAAGAAGAACTGTATCTAAATATATACCATGCTCAGGGCATTTTTAATGGGAGGGTTGTAAGTAAATGGAATGTTAGCATATCCTTAGTGTCAGGTTTTCATCAGTTCCCACACACCTGTGTCTTTCTAGCAATATACTTTGA